GTATATCGATGTTCACCTCGAATAATAAGTTCATTATTTTTAACTGATACTTTGATTTCTTGTGGTTGATAATTTTTCATTTCAACAGTCATTTCTAATTGTTTTTGATTATTTCCTTTATCAACAATACGAGATTGAACGCCAGAAGCACCTAAAAATCCAGCATAATCAAAATATGGATCACGATATTGACCAAATTGAGCTAAACTTCGATTATCATTTCTTGCTTGTTCAAGTCGACGTTCAGCTTCAGGATTTTTAATTGGTACTTCAATAACTAACATGTTATTTTGTGTTACATATGAACTCAAATGAGTTGCATCTATCGAAATCAAACGATGAATAAAAATATTTGATGTGAAAATAATTTGTAACTTACCAGCATATTCAGGAAGTTCATATGATTTTCGAAGTTCTTGAATATGATAATCGCTGTTTGATTGTCGATCTTCTTGTTTAGCTTCGACAGTTACTTTTTGACCTTCACCTCTAATTGTAATTCTTTCTGGATTGAATCCAGTAACATTAAGTTGAATAATAAATTTTTCTGATTGAGGAATTCGTGGTGTCTGTTCAAGACTTTTAGCATTATTTGATATTTTGCTGAGGTTATACGTTATTCGTTCCTGTTCTTCAACCCGTCGAAATGGTGGTGTAATGGGACGAAATGATGGAAATATATCAATATCATACCATGGATCAAAGAAATCAAATCGATGAAAAAAGAATGGATCGAATGGATCATCAAAAAAATGATAACGATAAAATGGAAATAATGCCATTCTTTTTTATTATGAATTAGATAATTGCAATTGTATATTGAAATATCTAGTGCAATGAAATCCGCAAACTATATATATATAGACAAAATGTGATCAGACAAAGATGAATTATAATATCAATAGATTTATTCGAGAAACTTCTTATAACCGAACATTTTGTTTTTGTATTGTGTCTTTCATCTCGTGAATTGTTGTTTATCTTCTGTACACAGATCTCAGTTCTAATCAAATGTTACAAACCTGTGAAAATAACAAAACATTTATGAGAAAAAGGTAAAGCACAAGATGCTTAATAGTTAATCTCTTTTTCTTTTTATCCACAAAAACAATCAAGATCAAAAGATCAAAACAAAAACAAAAACAAGAACCAAAAGAAATTGCACTTCATATCATTGATATTATAGTGAATATATTCATAATGGCTACATGAATTATTTTTTGTATTGTGAAATATATGTTTTTTCAAACTTCAATCAACTGCATATTTTTGTACCATTCAGAATAAAAATGCACTTATAAACAATTATTTGAAATATCTAATAAAAAATTAAGGATAAAAATAAAGTTTAATATAATTTTACAAATAGGAATATTCAAGTCTTTTTTTTGTTAGTACGGTCATCATCAATTTCAAAGACATCACTTGTGACCTTAGCTAAACAAAAAAGGTTCAAAATTCTTATTTTGTAAAATTACTCATGTCGATTGATATGCTTATTTGTATTTTCATTGTAACATTGTCGTATATGATCGTATACAGCTCACCACAACATGTAAACTAACCGCATTTTCTAGTAATTCTGCGAACAGTAATACAACATCGTGTATACGATGCCATATTTTCTACCGAGTACGGCTGTATATGAGCCGTGATCTCATTATAATACGACCACATTACTAACCGCAGAATTGTGGCCAGAATACGATCCGTTTACATTTGGTAAACTAACTATAAAAAGTTGTATATGGATCGTATCGTTCAACCTAGGCATATTAGACTCTATTATTATCATTAACTCCTTCAGAATGAGAAGCCTACGTATATATAGGCAACAGTTTTGAATCGGTTCGTAACTGACTTCAGTCTCCTAAGATATTATTATGATCGACATAGTGTACATCATAATCTGTCATATCTGATGTCGTTTAATACTATCATTTGTTTCGCACAGTTATCCATCACTTTTCTTCCTGTAGACATTGAAAAGACCTCCATTGCCTTCATCAGTAACTCTATTCTGAAGAGATTGATTATTTATTACTATATTATTATTATTATTATTATTATTCAAGTCTTTTTTCTTTAAAATATTGAGAATTTTATTCATTTGATACTTAAATTAAAAACAATCTATAAGAAAAGAAAAGGAGTTATTTATGTATTGTAGGTATAATATTGTTTAGAATTGACGTTGAAGTTCAATTGTGCGTGGTGTATTAGGTTCAATAAATGGTGCTTCAATTTCTAATTGTCCATCTGCATTTAAAAATGATCGAAGTTGTTCAATTTGTGTACCTGGTGGTAGTGTAATAGATTTTGTTAAAAATGATCGTTCAGAACGATTACTATCACTATAAATATGTTCAGCTTGTACAATAAGTTCATCATTTTTAACTGAAACTTTAATTTGTTCAGGTCGATAATTTTTAACTGCTAGATTCATTTTTAATTGTTTTTGTCCACTATTATACGTATCAACAATACGTGGATGAAAATCAGATGATGCAACAAAACCATGATAATCAAAAATAGGATCACGAAATTGACCAAATTGAACAAGAGCATTAGCTTCTGATTGTCCTTGTGATAGACGACGTTCAATACGTGGATTATTGACAGGTACTTCAACAACAAGCATATTACTTGGTGTAACATACGAAGCCAAATTGAATGAATCTATATAAAATAAATCATAGAGTATTAAAATTGTATATTGAAAATGATTTCTTACTAACCAGCATATTCAGGAAGATCATATGTTTTACGAATTTCACGAATATTATAATCATTAAAACCAATACGGTCTTCTTGTTTAGCTTCGACAATTACTTTTCGACCTTCAACTCTTGTTCTAATAGTTTCCGGTTTAAATCCAGCAACATCAAGTTGAACACGAAATTTTTCTGAAAGTGCTGGTATTATTGAACTTGTAACAGGAATAAGTGTACTACCAGTATTACTACTGGTAAGTGTACTACCACTATTGGTACTAGTTGATTTTGAATGATATGATGACGATGATGATGATGATGAACGTGTTATATGACGTGGTTCATTGATCCATCGAAATGAACTTGGTGTACTTGATAAAGCCGTTGGAAATGTATCAAAATCACGCCATGGATCCAAAAATTGTACTTGATCATCAAAGCATCGATCAAAAGGCTCATTGAAGATTCGATAACGTGTTATAGGAAAAAATGACATTTTTCACTTGATATGAAGTAAATAAAAGAATTGTATGTTAATATATGTTACCAACGATATGTATATATATATATCTAGGATATGTAGTGGGTGGTAATTGAGTTACGAAGCTTCAGGATTGTTCGAGAAAATATGAATATTTTTGTCGCTTTTCCTTTTTCCATTGCAGTATCTATAATGAGATATTAAGCAACCACTCTATGACCCATTTGTGATGAAAGAACAAGAATAGCTACATGTATATCTCGGTTTGATTTCCAAACATCCCACATAAACTGGTACATGTAGGCGTGATGGATATCAAAGTGACAACTAGAAAAAAAAAACTTGTATACATGTATATTTAACCTTGAAAAATATTATATTGAGATATTATTTATTCAATATTGATAAATATGATTAAGATTTTATAATCATGTATGCAAAATATTTAATAGTAATATTTTTGAAATAAAGTGTAGCTCAATTGAATTTCCCTTCGTCTTTTATTGTTGCTTAAGCATATTGCAGCTTGCTTTGTTTTTCAATAATCAGTATATAGCCGAAAAGTACAAATTTCATTGCACCATATGACATATTAGCCATGAATAATATACAAAATTTAGACAATAATAACTTACATTAGAAAAAAAGATAGAGGCTCGATTTCTTTTATTATTACAATGTATATATGAAGAAAGAATTGTATTTTTGTTTGTCCTTGATATTTGTACTTACAAACACCTATAATTTCAATTATATTCTGAGTATTTAATTAGATACAGAGGTTGATAAAAAGGAACTTTTGAGTACTTCTACAATAATTGATATTATAGACATTCGCATATACAAAAAATAAAGGAAAAACAAAAACAAAAATATATTTTCCGCTTACCTTACATTGTAGTAAAAACAATATTGCTTCTTTTTTTTGTGATGTATCTTTTTATTCTCTGAATTTTATTTGTTATTTATAATCAATGCAGTTAAATGTGTAATTTCTTACTATATACCGATTATCGAAAAAAAGAAAGCAATCTGCCATAGTCTTTCTCAGGAATAATAGACGAAGGAAAATTCAATTTGAATCATACTGTACTTGATATACTTTAAATAAGAAGTTCTATTTTTTTAATTTTTTATTATGCAATAACTGCGATCCTAAGATCCTAAAAGCACCAGATATGAGAAAATAAGAAGTTCTATTCAAATGTAACTATGACAAAAAGTGAAATAGTTCTTCGATTTTCATAAACTAGGAATATTTCCTATTGATAAAATATCAAAAGATTTAGATACATAGAAGATTTTGAAAATGTTCTTTGATGCTTTTAATGAGTTCTTTTTGCCATAATAAAAAAAAAAACATTCTTGTCTGTCACTAGTTTTCTATGTTATTGATAAACACTATACTGATATCAAATCTATGATTCTTTGCATGTTGATTTAGTTATTTAAGTCATAATACAGTTTATATTATTATTCATGTTATAAAACAAATGGCTTATTCATTGTGATACTTTGTACTTGTAATGATTGAGTTCATCGTTCAAAAGCAAAAACTTACAAATAAGAAAATATTTAATAAGCTAAAATATATATGATAAAAGTAATTAGATAATTGCATAAATTTATCGATTATGACATTAAAAAAAAAACATTTTTTCCAATTAAAATACAATTTATTTTTTTTAACATAAAAATTTATTCGAAATTAATCATATCGCTTTAATACATATTTATTCTCGATCATTCATTATCAACAAACAATAAAATTAAAATTAAAATCGTTTCTTTTATCAATAAATGTTCTACGAAGGTTTTGTTGTAAATGAAGATTTCTTCTCATTCGACTTTGTAGATATTCCAGATGATACATCGGTACCTGGTTGTCCAACCAGAACTTCTTCATATGGTCGTGCATAATTTACAGTACTTCTTTTTGGTCTAGCTAATGGTTCATGCGATAGAAGAGAATTGCTGACCGCTAAAAGAAACAAAAAAATATAAATAAAAATTATTATACATGAAAAACCAAACTAGATCATACAAGGAGCTGATAATAGGCAGTAATATTGTTTTTGAATCAAATAAGGAGAAGTTTCATTATTTTGTTCTAATTATTATTTAAAAAAAAACATTTCAAGCAAAAGATGAAATAAATTAATGTGTTAGATAAATTTAGCAAAAAATTTGAATCAAATCAACATTAGATACCTATAGGGTGACCTCTGACAATTTTAACACCTGGCTCGTTTATTGTTTCTTCTACATTTGAAGAAGATGTTGACAAATTTTTGTCACTTTCATTAAAAGTTTCTGATAATTGATTTTTATTATTATTATTATCTGATTTTGTTGATGGATTTATTGAAGATGATGCCATATCTAAAATGATTACATATATACACATCACATATTTATTGCGCATGAACGACATTTTTTTTTTTTCTCATCGAAATGACTTGTTTATATCTGACTCATTTAATTCTATATATGAGCAACCCAGTAAATACCATTCACATAGATTCAGAAATGTCATATAGAAGAATTTTTACATAGAGATCGCTACAATCGAAATAATTAATTTTATATGGAATAATTTTAATTTTTGTATTTATTTTTTTTCTTATATCATTGACTATATATAGAGACAAAAAATACAAAAAAAAATCATTCTCAAAAACTTTTTATAACTAGTTTAATATACAACCAATCTGAAATGATCTATTGATCTATGAGAAATATTTACTTATAATATTCTTCAGCCTGCGTTGCTTATTTTATATTAACACTTATTATTATTATTATTATTTCCATAATGAGTATTTATTTATCGTTATATAAAAACAATGAAGACTTGAATAATAATGAATAATATTAAAATAGGCATAAAAAGTTGTGCAAGTTATGGAAGTTATAAATGATGAGGTTTTAGATGGAAAAATGTCACGATGTAGTTTTCTTGGATGATGAAATTGTTAATATAAACGATCAGATCTTGTTGAATGTATAGAAAATTAATCGATATTGATGAAAAACGTGATCATTTTGAAATTGAACTTATTAAATATGAATTAGAACTTAAATTATTAATATTAAGTATTTGTCAAGGTTAAATTTTATAAATTTAAAATAAATTTTCGTTTTTATTCAATATTTATCAGTGTAATATATTGATTTATGATAATCATTTAGTTATAAAAATGATTAGTCATCCTAAAGTACAAGATATTCATTTTGTTTGGTATTTTTTTAATTGTTAATAAAGTTTATAGAAATATACACGGGATGGAACAGAAAATAAGTTTTCCCCCTTATGAGATGTAATTTTGGAATCAATTTCTTTTACAATAGATAGAGCTGAAAAGAAAAATACTAGTAAATAGAATTGTTTATATTTTGAATACAAATTCTACTATAAATAAAGACAAAGAAGAAATTCATTGAATATCAAAATCTATTCCGGAATGAAATCATATCTACTAGATTTCGATTCTTTGTAAAAATATTCAAAAATATACATGAAAATACTGTTTCATTTCGATGTAATTTTGATTTTGATATGTGCTTCAGATCTGTAGTTCAAGGCATGATTCAGATGATGGTCTTCTCATAACTTCAAAGTTGAACAAATAATTTAAAACGAAACACTGTTATTATGCATTTTTTCAAAAGTATTTTGTGAAGATAAAAGTATATTCAATAGAATAATAGAATAGAAAACAATTGAAACAATCCTATTACGTTTTTCGTTAGAAAACCATATGCAATATTCGAACAATGAATGTGTTTGGAAAACATGTCAGTAGAACTATCAGCAAAATTTATCATCAATTTTAGAGAATACTTATAGTCATATATTGAGAAATCTTGTCTATTTACGTCTTACTTCTCCTATAGAACATAGAAAAATCAATTTTTCTAATTTTTCTTTTTTAGAAATAGATCAACGTCATGAAATTCCTGTTGGAGTAAGAACATTTTTTAAAAGAAATAATTAGCTGTCTAAAAGGTGTTATTAATTCATCACGTCGTCAATGTAATGCAACATTTAATATTCATTAAATAGTAGCTGCTCGAGTTGAAGATTGTATTATTGAAGCTATATAATAGAAAATTTCTTTGATAAATATATATGTATTGTTTTTCTTAACATTAATAACTTTTATTTTCATCATAAATCAATATCAATGATAGAATTAAATTAAATTGAGAATAAACAATCACAAATATGAGAACATATATAAAATCCACAACGAACAGTTTACATGATTTTTTTTATGGTGATAAATATAGATTCATTTACGTTATCAGTCGCATTAAACTATTCTTATTTCTGTTAGTATTATATTCTTATTTTCGGTTAGTAATTAACTAGTGCTATCTTTTATATTTTCTCGACATTGATATATAGTAATGTCTGTTATACTTTTTTTTTCTATAATACCTTTCCGATTTGTACAGATGCGCTATTAATCATCGTATGTTAACCAATAATCAGATTTCTATTAATAGAAATCCAGTTCATTGTAGTTGGATTTTGTATGTCTAATATTTATTTTGATAGATAGAGTTAATTGCACATCTTATTTACTTTGGTCTCTGTGTTCATAGTGTGTATTCAATGCTATTGAAACTTTAGCTTTTTCTTAGCGAAACAAAAACTTTCGTATATGCTTATGATAATATATAATTGTAATTTACAGATATTTATAATAAATAAATAAACAGTATTGAAAGTAAAAAAAAAAGGAAATTTTATTTATTGATATGTCAAAAGAAAAACTATAATGAATAGATTTGTTTTTTTAGTTATTACATGAAGGAGTTCAAAATATCGCGTACGGATAACAGATAACGGAAATTTTTATTTATTTATTTATTTTTAAGTGATGATAACAAAAATTAAAGTTGACGACAAAAGTTTCGGACCACTTTTTAATTTTAGATCAAGTATTAAAACTACACAACATTTATTTAATTTAATTATATGGCGGTATAGCACAGATCGAGCACTATATATATAGCTGTTTAACATAAGAAACTCGTGAATCTAAAATACAACCAAAAAAAAAATATAAACTTTAGTATTAACAAAAAACAAATGACATGAAAAAAATACAGCATGATATTTTACTGGTATAAGTTCATGAAGAATGCAGGTGACTTGATGGAAATGGACAATCTTTATATAGAGTGTAGATGTGCTTACGGATGAAGAAGAGACAGATCCACATCCATTTATATTGATTTTTATTTCATAGTATTGTGATTATTTCTTGATTAATTTGATATTTACGTTTTATATTGTTTTTCTTTTATAACAACATTTTTATGGTTATGTCAAGTTGTATTAATATAAAAGAAAAAGAAGATTTTATATAATGCTATATTTTATTATATATCAAGCGATGCTTAGAAAAATTCTTGAAGGTTATGAAGCACGTTATTATGAATAGTACTACTAAGTTTATTATTCAAAACATTAATCTTCATGTATTCATCTTTCTCTTTAGTCTAGTATCTACTTCATTGTTTTATAGCTCGTTAAATATAAATAGTTCGATTATACAATGAATGCAATGAAATTTCTCTTTATTTTATGTCATGAAAGATCATCTTACGCATATGAATTATATATATATATATATATAATATTTCAAGTAATGTATTTCATAGAGTTCTTGAACTTAAACTAAGACGTTCAGAACATGTATATGGTAATCGTTGACAAATGGTATTATTGTTTAATTACTGTCATTAAATTAAACTTGAAAAAAAGGAAACTATGGAATGATTCAATTATTTTTCAGTTATGATATCATTACGAGAATCACTTTCACCATGATCATGATCTCCTTCACTGAAAATTAATTAAATATTCTTCATTATTCGTTGTGAATAGTTCATTATTTATAAAGATATCTTTTATTTTTCTTTCTATTTTTGATAATAAAATGACATTTTTTAAAAATATATAAACGTCTGTAAAAAAAAGTACACAACATTTTTTTTTCTTACAATTTTGCTATAATTATAATTAGATAGGATCTGTCAATACAATTATTAGAGAAAGAATTATGATGACTGATAAAAAAAAAAGGAAAATATATAAATATATACAGTAGACAAAAGCAATAATGAGGAGATAATATAATTTATTCTATGAATTTCCCTCGACACAATTTACTAATGTAAAGATTTTAAAGCTATATACTGAATTATAAATCTTGACTAAGAGGAAAAAAAATTACATACACATGAATAAAAAGAAAGAAGAAAAAACGTTTCTTAAAATAAATGCTTATTTGTATACATCAGTGAATAGAAAAAACCTGTTTTATTTAGTCTCACAAAAAATTTTCTGAAGTCTTGAAATAGTAAAATCATTTGTATATCATAAGTCGAAAGCCAACTAATCATTTTTTCAATTAATGATATATATACAGTTCGCGCCGATTGAAAGTATACCCTTCGAATATTTTGTTTTTTATTAATATATGTTTTTTATCTATCAACCTACTATATATAGGAAGAAAGCCCGAAATGCGCTGCATCTTTTGATATATTTACATTGACCATCAAATACAGTTTAAAGTATGCAAGGTGTATTAGAAGAAAAAGTCACTTTTCTTTTTTGCCAGTGTTCATAATGTTGTAACATGTTTTATTTCGCATATATCTCGACTTAGGTAAATGATAAAACATTGAATTTTTTTCCAAAAGATGCGCCGTGAAAAGCTCTACAAAAGCTGCATAATCGAATTCTTTTTTTTACCTGTTCTAGTGATTTTTCTGATACTCTAAATGAACAAATTACATGCCAGTGTCACCTCCCATCATACTGGAACTGTTGGAAGACTTTTTTGATCGCCATATATCTCGACTTGAGAAAATGACGAAATATAGAATTTTTTTTCAAAAAGGTATCCCGTCGAAAGCTCTACGAAACTTGTATAGACCAAGTCCTACAGTGGATCAGAGAAGTCCTCGAAACGTTTTCTACATGATGGGAAGTGATACTGTTATGTAAGTTGTTTCATTGTGAGTATCAGAAAAACCACTAGAGTACATAAAAAAGAATTCGATCATGTAGCTTTTGTAGAGCTTTTCACGGCGCATCTTTTGGAAAACAATTCAACATTTTATCATTTATCTAAGTCAAGATATATGCGAAATAAAAAATATTACACCAGTACGAAGACCCAAAATTTGGTTAAAGAAAAAATGTCACTTTTTTTCTGATACACTTTTTATACCTCGAACTGCATTTGATGGTCAATGTAAATATACCAAATGATGTAGCGCATTCCGAACTTTCTTCCTATATATAGTAGGTTAATACATAAAAAACGTATATTAATAAAAAACAAAAAACTCGAAGGATATGCTTTCAATGGGTGTGGACTGTATATAATCGAAATCTATTCTAGATAGTAAATCTTTCTAAATTTCTTTCAGTTCAATTTTTCAAAAAGAATTTCGATCATCAATCGATTCAGCTAAAGTTTAGAAAAATGAAATTTATTTTCAATTTAAACATTTCATTGAAACTCATATATTTCTATCATGTATTTTTACAAAAAACAAAACAAAACTTCCATGAATTAAAATCATAGATAAACTTTTTGTAATAGTTTTCTGTCTCATTATATTAAATATCTATGTTAATTATGAATAAAGATTCAGATCTGAAATTGATTATGTTAGTTTGGCGCTTGAATAAGAAATACTATAGTGATTGAATTGCTTGTTTCTTAATATTTAATTCCATTAGTTACTTATTCATACCTATTCACCATTTCATATTGGCTATTAACTGTGAAACAAAAAGCACAACAAGAAGAAGAATCTAGGCACTATACACTACACCTGTAACTTGTACTACATACTACATCATCATCATTATAAAACAACAACGATAGAGGGTGTCGGTAGGATGTAAATAAACAATTGAATTTCTTTCGTGTATTCAAACAACGAACACTTTATAATGCAAATGCTTTTTCAATTCTATTTATGGTTAGTTAAATGTATGATGTAGAAACACGAAAACATGTCCGTAAATGTTGATCTATAGAAGAGAGTACGATGAAATTTAGATGACGTAGTTTAAGAATACATATTGTTGCAAGGTAGAAAATTGGAACAAATGATTTTTCTTTTGAATTTATTTTGTTATTTATATTAGACAGGAAAAAATGCTTTCTTTTTATTTTATTTTAAAGTTGAATACTGTCGGAGATCGTGAAACAAAACGTTTAATCTTTATCGTACGTATATCACTGTCCCATATCATTCCTCTTCGTTCACCCATAAGCAAATGTAATTCGATTTCTTTTTGTCTCCTATCAGACTGAATTATCCATCGTTGGACTTGAGGTCATGTATTCAATCGAATGTCCGACATTAAGAACATATTATAACACATATCTAACGAGCTAGTCGATCTTTTCTTTTTTGGTTCTCTCCTTGATATGATTAGAATGACGTAACAAAATCAAAGGATCATTTTCATATATATATATGTATGTTCCTCTATTGAGAGTGGTCTATTTATATCAAATATCGATGTCACGTAAGAAATCAATTTCTTCTTTTTTTGCTGTGATCAAGTAGTTTCTGGTTTTGAACTTGTCAATGCTGTTATCGTCAATATCCAATGCATGTCGGGTTCGACCTTGAAAAAAGTAAGAGAACGAGAGAAAAAAACAGAATTTACCTCTTGTTTTTTTCTTGCTTTTCTTTTCTCTTTTTTTTTTTCTTTTCCTACATATTGCCTTGTAAATCCCTTCGTCGTCGTTGTCAGTTGCACAACAAAAGTCCAGACGTTTTTTTCTCATGTTCTTTCGTTCTTATGCTTATATCACAAGGTTAATTGTCAAATAACATAGTCGCATGTGTTTGTCTGTGTTGTCGACGCGACGAGTTGTTCTTCATAGAGGTTTTTGGTTGTCGCTTAGGACGAGAAGAGATAGAAATAAAAGACAAGAGAAAAAAAAACGGAAAGGAGAAAGAGAAAATATTTTTGCTACTGCTTGTCTGCTAGCATTCGATTCTCGTCGGCTTTTAGTTGAAAGGAGAAAGAAAAGAAGAGAAAAACAGAAGAACGAGAAAAGCCCTGACGCCTCGGCGTATTGACCATTGATCGACTGACCAACATACCGACATCGAAATCGAGTAAGTTTATCATGAAGATATAAATATGTTATATTATTTTCAGATCTAAATCTTTAAAATAAAATACAATTTCAATTTCTTTTTTTGTTTTTAAATTATTCTAGATCATCCATCATCAAATAAAAACAAAGAATGAGTGATAAAATTCTCAAGATTGTTGGTCGCTATATATATGATAGTCGTGGTAATCCGACTGTCGAAGTCGATCTTTGGACAAGCAAAGGTATAAAAACCACATATTTTCTTTTTCAAAAAATAGGACAAATAAGAAAAAAAGGAAAAAAAGAAAATTTTTTTTTCTTTTTTTTTTGTCTTTCCTATATAAATAAAAAACTTATTTGACAAAACAAGACCTTAATCTTTATTGTATGATATATTATATTAGTATCAAAATACGTATTTATTTTTTATTGTATTATATCGAAAAAAATATTAGTTTAACGTAAAACAAATCTTTTAATCAAAATAAAATCTTATTTAATATAAAGAAAAAAAATAACAAAAAGAAAAATAAGTAGAACAATTTAGTATTTCAGGATATAAAAATAAAGTCAAAACATTCTTTTAAATGACCTTGAAAGTAAATACTAGATGTGCAGTAATCTTAGTTCTATGTCTTCGTTGTTCTTTTCTCTCAAAAATGATTTAAGTATATAAAAGACAACCTATATAAATTAGATGTCTTCAAATGAATGATCTATTAACAACATTCAATAGATATGTACTGTAATTAGAATTGATGAATCATTATTTCTAGGGCTTTTTCGTGCTGACGTTCCATCTGGTGCTTCAACTGGTGTTCATGAAGCTCTTGAATTACGTGATGGTGACAAACATGTTCATCATGGAAAAGGTAAATGAGGTTATATGATAAATATTAATAAATATTAATTGTAATGGATCTAGGTGTTGAAAAAGCTGTAGCTAATGTACAAACATTAGCAAAATTAATTATTGAAGTTTGTCAATAACTTTATCTTTAAAAGTTTCAATCATTTTATTAATAAATTGTTTTCGTTATTTAGAAAGGTTTTGATGTCACTCAACAAAAAGATATTGATGATTTTTTACTTCAACAAGATGGAACAGAAAGCAAAAGTACAAATCATTTTATTTCTTCAATTATATAATCTTATTTATTATTTAGAAAAATATGGTGCCAACGCTATTCTTGGTATTTCTATTGCTGTCTGTAAAGCTGGGTAAAATTTTCTTGTTGTTTTTTTCTTATGTGAATTATTATTCTTAATTAAATACATTTGCTAACATCTTTTTAGAGCAGCACATAGCAATTTACCTTTATATCAATACATTGCAAAACTTTCAAACGGAACTATTCGTTTACCCGTACCTGCTTTCAATGTAAGAATCAATTAGATTTCTTTAAAATTTTAAAATTTTTGTTTCTTTTTTTTCGTTTAATATTATTAGGTTATCAATGGTGGTAGCCATGCTGGTAATAAATTAGCCATGCAAGAATTTATGCTTTTACCAACCGGAGCTAAAACATTTAAAGAAGCTATGCGTATGGGTTCGGAAGTTTATCATCACTTAAAAAATTTGTATGATCGATGGGTTTTTTCTAAAATTATTTTGATATATTTATAAAAATGAAAGCAATTTATTTTTTGTACTATAGAGTTAAAGCTGAATATGGTCTTGATGCAACTAATGTTGGTGATGAAGGTGGTTTTGCACCGAATATTGAAAGTGCTGAAAAAGGTTATCAAATATTTCATGAAAAAGATATAATTTTTATTCTTTTGTTTTTTTTGTTACGAATAATTTTAGCACTTGATATTCTTGTTAAAGCTATTGACAAAGCTGGTTATAAAGGTAAAATTAAAATTGGTATGGATGTGGCAGCAAGTGAATTTTATGATGAAGAAGGAAAAAAATATGATTTAAATAATAAAGAAAAAGGTCGACCACATTATGTAATTAACTTTAGAAAAAAAAAAGATTAGAAATATTATAAAAACAAAAAACTTTTATTTGTTTATATTTTTAGTTAACAAGTGAACAAATGGTTGCATATTATCTTAAACAAATCGAACAATATCCAATAATATCAATTGAAGATGCTTTTGAACAAGATGATTGGAATGGTTTTCAAACGCTTCTTAATGCTGTTAAAGGTCGTGGTGTACAACTTGTCGGGTAAATATTCATCTTAGAACAAAACATTCATAATAAATTTTATTTTATTTTTTTTTTTAAGTGATGATCTAACAGTGACAAATGTAAAACGAATTCAATTAGCTGTTGAAAAGAATGCATGTGATTGTCTTCTACTCAAAGTCAATCAAATTGGTTCGGTTACTGAAGCTATTGCGGCGTAAGTTTATTTTTTAATTATAATCGAATTTTTATATACATACATGTTTATATTTCTAGATGCATCATGGCTCGTGGTGCCGGCTGGGGTGTTATGGTTAGCCATCGAAGTGGTGAAACTGAAGATACATTCATAGCTGATCTTGTCGTAGGCTTAGGCACTGGACAGGTTTGATTCCATATCTTTATTTTGTTTATTTAATCTAATTTCCTTTTTTTTGGAATTTAATAGATCAAAACTGGCGCACCATGTCGTTCGGAACGTTGTGCTAAATATAATCAATTATTACGTATTGAAGAAGAGCTTGGTAATAATGCAACATATGCAGGCGGAGATGCTTTCAAAAAAGACTAGTCGATCAATATTAAAATTTATTCATAGTCTAACAAAAAACCAAAAAAAACGAACTCTATCAATTTATATCATCAAAATTTGATTAGGTTAATTCCTCACTCATTCACTACTTTCATTCAATATTTACAACAGTTTTTTTTTTCTTTTTTGTTTTGTTCTTTCTTTATTTAATCATCCTTTTTTTTTCTGTTCTACATTTGGTGTGATGTTCGTCTACTGTCGTTATATTTTCTCTATTTCATTAATTTTTGAAAAAAAAACGGGCAAGAGTGTACTTCCCGGTGTTTGGCTGTACAGAACGATCAGAGACAACACACACACATTCACACACACACTTACTTAATCTATTCCTCCAGAAATCTCTTTTTTTCTTGATCTTTATTCAACTCTATTTTTTTTGTTTCTTCAACAACGTAGTTTTATGCTTAGCCTATCTTCTTTGTCTTTCTTTCTTATTCTGTTAACTTCTATTATTTACCCATGAGTGCTTATGTTCTAATATATTGTCTTTTGATAAACGCCTTGAGAACTCTTATATATATATATATATATATATCCGATTGATTTATGAATATTGAGAAAGATCCTAGAGTTTGTTAGAATGATATATTCTTTTTATTGTTGTCTAAATTTCTGATGATCGATAATTGAATTTATGAAGAAAAAATTTTGTTATTTTGTTATCATCATATTGGCGCTTTGATTGTTCTGAAATTCTAATTTTAAATTTTATGATCCTTGAGTTTGTTGTTGCTCCTGCTAATACTTATACAATTACTTGGCAGTATTCTTAAAATCTTCAGTTAATTTTACTAATTTCCTATTTCAATGAATAATTTAATTATCTAAATATCAAATTATTAATTATTTCAAAAAAAAACCAAAACATAAAAAAGCATGTCTATTGATAATAATAAATTATGGAAAACAGAAATAACTACACCAATATCAAATATTCAGAATACTAATAATACAGGTGCTCGAGGTGATTGTGTTGATTTACCGATAATTTCCATGATTTCTAATAGAATTATACGTGATTCTATTGATGATAAAAATGAACATTTAATATCTTCAGTTAATTTTGAAAATCAAATAGAAGATTATTTTCAATCAAATTTAGCTTGTGGTGAACCTGAAAAACATAAAGTATGTGTTTCAACATCATCAGCTACTTTTATTGTATCATCATCATCATCTCCATTAGATATGACTGTACAACCTGATGATCATAATATTCAAGATATGATTCATTTACATACTAATAGGGAATTATTTATGCAAGAGAGAATAGCTGATAATCATCAACAATCATTAGGGATTAGACAATATTGGATATTAGCAACTATTATTACTGGAATATTCATGATTTTGATAACCATCATTACTATTAGTATCATTCATTGATAATTTCTTTGTTCTATTTTTTTACTCTGCTAATAAATATTTCCGATATATTCTTATCTTAGAGAATGATCGAATAATAGAAATTAATTTTAGTTCTTTTTGTTTAAAGTAAAATTTTAAAATTTGTTTTTTTGTTTTCAATAAAAGATTGAAAAACTTTTTGTTAATTGGTAAACATTCAAAATAAATACTTAGAATGAGATTGATTAGATATATAATAATACGAAAAAGCAATTCTCTTTGCATTTATAAACTGAGTTTACTTAATTCTACTGTCTCATCGTGAACATTTAAGAATGATTATCACCAAAAAATATCACTATGTTTTATTCACTGATTCTCACATGTTTATGTGTCAAATATTTTTACCTTGTCAAATACAACGACATAATATTCTCATGTTAATTCCATTTATTTTATCAACAATAACATCAATCAATGGTTATAATGGTGTACCTTATTTTTTTAAAGTAAATGTTGCCACTAGCTTAATGCTATTTGTTGCACAGAAACATATTTTGAATAAAATTATGCGTCGCAATGTTAAAATGGAGAAAAGCAAAAGAAAGAAAGAAAGCAATGAACACTGGTCTTTTTTTTATTCGATGAATTGATTCAATTCAAAAGACGACAATCAACAAGTTCTAGAAGAATAAGATATGGCAAATGTACTTCATCTATCGAAATTAAGTCGTGGTCATGTTGAATTATCTGAAAATGGTTCTCGTTTAGAAATCTTTGCCGATTCAAATGTACGTAATTATTTTGTTTATTAGCGAAAACATATCAACTGTTTTAAATGTATATTAGGAAAATCCACTTATTCGTACTTCAGGAACTAATCAACTTCCTCATATACCCAAAACATATTCAACAAAGTAATAGAAATATTTAAATTAGATATGTAAGAAAAATGATTATTATTCTTAATAGGCGTGGTCCTCTTGTTTTATTTGCTGAAACTGGTTTTATTAAACATTCAAGATCAAAAGCTCATCGAGATAAAAGAATGCTTCATCATGATTTAAATTCACCTTCTTTAATAAGTCCACCACCACTTAAATTAGGAGAATTAAAACGAAGTATTTTAGCTTATGGTGGAACTCCGGAAGTATAATTCAAATTCTTTATATACAATACAAAAACAAATTAATTTTATCTATATTTTAGAATCAATTACTTGATGGTGTTGTTGATGAAGATGGTACATATATCAATATGAAATTATCATCAAAAAAACGTCCTCATCCATCAAAATATGCTGGTATTAGTCCAAATATTGCTATTAAACGACGATATATGATTGCTAGTAGTGAAGATAGAAAACGAGATCTTGATTGTAAGAAAATAATATTCAATAGATTTTTTTAATTAAAATATTATTAGCTCTTCTCGAATTGGAATATTCAATTTCACGTGGTCAACGTTATTCAATGATGAAAACACATATTCTTAGTGATGAAATATCTCTTCTTCCACCTGTTTGTATATAAATATTATGATTTCTAAAAATTTTCTTTTTTTTTTTTGGAATTAGATTTATAGAAATCCAGACATTGTTCAACATTCTCCATCATTTTTAGCAGATACTTATCGATTTTTTAAAATAGACAATAGTGTTTCTTTAAATGGTTTGTTTCATGTTTAACTTATTTTTCATAATATAATTTCTTTAATTTAGATTATGATAATACAGAACAAGTAAATTCTGAAATACAAAATACATTAGAAGTATATCGATATATAAAAAAAAAAGAAAAACATAAGAAAATATTTCTAAAATTATTTTCAATATAGATTGTCGATTCAAAAGGAAGTTATTTATCTTATGAAACATTAGAACAATCGGAAAAAGAAAAAATTCTTGCTGATTTACTTATACAAACAGCTTTACATAATATTGCTGAACAACAAAATATTGTAAATTTAATTGCTTTAATTTATTTTAAATATTTCTTTTCTTTATATAGGAAATATTTGAAGATGCACTTAATCGTGTACGAGATTCGGATATAACTCAAAGTTTTTCAACAATGGATATTCCGTCATTTGTTGACGAAAGTAGTCTAACAGCTTTTCCATCGGATGCAACAAATAATAATCAAGTAAAATAATAAAAATTTAAAAATTCCTATATGAAACATTTCATTAGAATTTTAAATCTCCTCAAACTTCAACTGATTCACCTGCACAACAACATTATATGTTTGGTAAAATGCAAGGAACTAAATGGGCTCGAAATCGACCATCACATTCGAATAGTTATTGAATTTTATTTCATTATATTTTACATAAATTTCTTTATTTTGTTTTTTAAAGCTTTACCAACCAAATCAAAACATCAAACAAATAACACTGAACAACAAAATGATACAACAACTAGCGATGAATTTAATACTGAATATACTCAAACAGCAAGTGATTTTGTTCATTCAAAACGTAAGATAATTTTATTTTTATTGAACCATGAAAATCTTCATTATTTTTGTTTTAGTTATTCGTGCATCTCGAATGTTAGCACCAATATCGACTTCAGCTCATCAAGAACCTTCAATAATACGAAATCAACAACGTACTACAACAAAATTATCTACAAAATTACGAAAATTTCATGATATAGATTCTAATCAACATAAAATAAAAACAAAACCAAGACGTAAATATGAAGATCAAAGACAATTACAACATTTTTTATCACCTGCGCAATCACAGCAAGATAAATTAACAGAAACAAATCAATTAAGTAAATATTTAATATTAAAAAAAAACACAAATTATATTTTAAATTTAAATTAAATAATAGTTGAAAAAGAACAATCTTTAACAAATTCATTACATCGTCAACGTTCATCGAAAAGTTCAAAATTAAATACATCAAGACAAGGAACAGGAAAAACATTTGCAACAGGTCGTTGTGTTACATCACCATTCAGTATACACGGTAAACAAAACCCAAAAACACAAATAGAATTTTCTATTCATTGTTATATATTTATAGAAGAAGCAGAAAGACTTCTAGCTATTGATTCATGTAGAGAAGATGATGATGATGATGATAATAATGAGAGTGTACGAACATCAATTGTCGATGCAGCAGAAGACGCACTTGTTCGTAATGTATCACAATCACCTGGAACAAAAACAGATGAGGAACATGGTATTTAATTGATTTTCTATAAAAACTTATATTTATTTTCTTTTAACTAGATCAACATGTTCATCCATCAGAAATGAATATAACAGACAATTCTATAATGCCACCTGGTTTGTTCAATAATTTGTATTTTAAGTTAATAAATTATATTTATTTTACTAATAGAAGTCAATTTACAGCGATCTGCCTATACACATCCATCACATGGAACAGTAAAATCAAAAAATTCATCAGTAGTTCCTCCAGGAGCATTATTAATTGCACCTGATGGTGAAGTTCTTTTCGTCGGTGGACAATCCGTACATCAAGATAGTAAGTTTATACATGAAAAAATAAGATTTTCATGAATAATTGATTTCGAATAATAATAGATGATTATGATGATTATTTATCAAAACAAGAACCATTTGGTCATCAACCTTCAACAACTTCTCTTGTAATAGGAAATAATGATCAACAAGGAATATCACTTGCACCTTGTGTACCAATGGTTCTTGGAACCAAACGTGAACGATTACCCGATGAAACAGTCATTCGACGAAGTAAGATTAAATATTAGAATTAAAAAAACAAAGAAATTAGATTAATTTACAAAAAAAAATATTCTATTAGCTTTAAATTTAACTGGCGGTGATTTTAATAGTCAAATTGGTTTGCAATCATGGAGTTATGAAGTACCTCTTGAACGACGACGAATAGTAACACAATCTTATACATTGATTCCTCCTCCACCACCTATTGGCCTTTCAGCATTTACTGGACGTAAACGTAAATATATACAGATAGAATTTAGAAAAAGTAAACTAAAATAAAACTATCTATCTTAGATCATCATCAAAAACGAATTGCTCAAGAAATACATGATCATGGTTAACACAAATATATTAATTGAAATTTGAAACTAATCATTCATTTTTATTTTTAGCTATGCTTCATTCAACATTATCTATGCATAGTGAAGCAATTCAACAACAACCACAACAACGTACTACAATTCATTCAAATAATAAAACTCGATCAGTTCTCGAATCTCGTATGTTATTATTTGAAAAAGAAAATTTTTTTTGTGAAACTCACATATATTTTCGAAAAAAATACTGAGTGCCAGATTTAAGTCGAAGTTTTTTTTACTTCTTCCCTCACCATTGTAGACCTTGGTCACTAAGGACACCAGGCGTTAGACCCTTTTCCCAGAGTCCATTACCTACAAAAAAAGGCACTAAACAGCATTAACGACAATAATTAAATATTCTAGAACATTCCAAAATTTGCCACAGTCGTCACATGATCAAGTTATAACTTTAGGAAATCATCAATATCAATGTTTGTGAGCTTATCAGGATGTATAATAATGTATTAACATCTGCTCTGAAAATAGTGAATATGTAAAACAGATTTATTTGCTAATTAAATCAATGTAAAGAATAATAATAATGTTAAATTAAGAAAAACGGAATACAAAAATGAAAAACAACGATCGCATAGCTATATCAGTAAAAAAAAATTCTGTTCGAAATACAGAACTAGATAAGACAGGTCGTTTCTCTGGCGATCGATGATCCTTGGAAAAACAACTATAGTCTGCTAGAGATTTTTCACTTAACTTATTTTGTATTAGTAGTATAATGAGGTTAAAGAACACATATGAGTTTCCAAAGCGGCTGTATTAAGAAGCTTTTTTTCTTTCTAATTTAAAAGTTTTACTTTAAAATAGAATCACCACTTTTTACATTTACGTCTTGGGCGTATCAACGACCACCAACACCACCAATAGTCAAACGACCTTATTTATATAAACCAGATTATCGACCTTCTGGTATACATGGACATAAACGTATGTTATCAT